CCGTCCCCAATTACCCACCGACCGGCCCCAAGCACCCACCGACACCGACAGGCCCCAAGCACCCACCGACCGGCCCCAAGCACCCACCGACAGCCAACGACAAAGGGCCTCGCTGCACTACTCTCGACATCCACAAAAAACAAAAATCATGACCATGTATCTGTCTGTATTTCAAGAGTAGTGCAGCGAGGCCCAAAGCATAAAAGAGAACGCAAAAACGAAACGAAACCAGACTTGCCCGAGAAAAAAACAAACGCCAAACGCGTCAAGACATCCACAAAAAACAAAGATCATGACCATGTATCTGTCCGTATTTCAAGAGTAGTGCAGCGAGGCCTGAAGCATAAAAGAGAACGCAAAAACGAAACGAAACCGGACTCGTCCGAGCAAAAAACAAACGCCAAACGCGTCAGACACGTCAGGCGCGCCGCATCAGGCACGTCAGAATTTTACATCGGACGTCTCACGCTTCGCGATGTAAACGATGGCGCGTCAGAATTTTACATCGGACGTCTCACGCTTCGCGATGCAGAAACACTAACGTGGACCATTGCAGATGCGAGACTCGGTGCCGCGGCTGATAAGCTTTAGTAGGATTGTTTGAATTGTTTGAATTGTTTGATTGTTTGATTCATGACACAGACTGCATTTCGCTTCATCCTTCCACTTCTTGCACCCTTCTCTTGCTGCCACATAGCCTCGAATCGAAGACCTCTGCGGATTTTCTTGAACATAGAAGTGTGAACATCTATTCATGGCACAGACGGCTTTTCCTTCCTTCCCCTTCTTCCTAGGACCACATAGCCTCGGCTTCCCTTACCTTTGATTGGGTCATCCATTGGATGCCAATATGCCCATGGGCAGTCAAAGTCCCACTGGCCATCCTGCTCCCACTCTGCACTGTAAGCAAACTCGTCATCCATGGACAGAAGGGATTCCCCATCACTGCTACAACCCATTAGCTTGAGTTTGTAGGCAGCTCGCATACTGAGTGATATGGCTGGATTAATCCCTCCTGACTGCAGAAAACAGCAACATATCAACATATCCATCAGATTCCTTGTTAGTCACTGTTCATTTGGAGCAGAAGCGCTTGAAGTCCAGACGACAAACAAATACGCATGAACACACATCTGCTCACACACTCTAGGTAGCACAGTAGTTCCACATCAAATTCACACCAAGGCTTACTCCGCAGCAGGACATCCTGCAGCATTTGGCCAGTCACACAAATTTGAATCGGGGGGACGAAGGCACCTCTCTCTCTCTCTCTCTCTCTCTCTCTCACACACACACACACACACACACACACACACACACACACACACACACACACACACACAACGCAAACCCTAAACAGCACAGCAGTTGTACATCAAATTCAAATCAACGCTTACTTAGTAGCAGAACTGTTGAGAAATTCAGAAATTCTTGCTAGTATCCAATATTTGCAATCAAACCTTCCAGGCCTGGCACTGAACTAGCAAAGCACTCA